TGAGATTATACCATGAAGGGCAGCTTGATATCAAAACAGATGATGTGAAAAACTTTACGGTCAGAATGAAGAAAGTTTCACATGTCTGTGAGTCAAATCAGATTTTCTTGGCCCATGCTGCGCCCTTCCGCAGAGTTTTATGAAAATCTGCCCGGTTGCTCTTTTGTAATCCTGCTGAAAAACAAAAGGGCGCCGTAAACATAACCTTCTTGGTGGGGGCAATAATGCACACCCGTCAGGCTGCCACAAAGTAATCACACCAGCTTCTCTCAACTGTTTCTCATTCAGAAACACACACCTTCAGCTGGGTGGAGCTGTGTTCATCTGTACAAACTGATGGAAACAAACATGGAATTGTTCATTTTATGTACCTTATGCCGTACAAGGGTAATACACAATAAAATGATTTTTAGCCGCATTTTATTGTCTGATGTAAGCAACAGTACTTTGAAGGACTATCAATTGATGTGATCATTTAAAGAGCTTAATTAGCAGTCCTGGCAGTGGTGGGAGCCATGAGTTATCAATGTACTGATCTTAACTGGTTCACTATTGTAGGAAAAAAACAAAAAACAAAGAGATATTTTAGCTGTATTCTTTCCAAAGCCAAGCCATGAACCTTTTCTTTTGAAAGCTTTGGGAGACGTCATCAACCACCATTCAAACTGTGGTTTCCTGAAGTCTAGCCACCAATTAATCAATTACTGCAATTAATTTTCTCCTTCATCAACATGTCTTTGTAATTTTAGCCCCTCTAAAAGCCACAGCATGCTATGCCTACATATGTCTGGCAAAGCTCCCTGAAGGAGCACAATTAATGTTGAAAGTTGAAGTGTTGAAACATGAAACAGGGAAGACAATGGAGCATAAATGGATCAAACTGTGGACCGGCTGCCAGAGCAGGAAATGTGGACAGGGGTTAGTAAGCAGAAGGCGAATGGCTGGATGCAGTAAAATTAAGAGGGATATTCGATTTGGTCCCTTCACATGACGGCCTTCCTGACACCGCTGTATCTTATGCTATCCCAAAGCCGCTCTGCAGGGGGGCAGCATAATAGTAGGAAGTCATTCCTGCAGCAGTTTTTCCTCTGGTTCTGGATTTATGACGCCGAGTTGATTGTATTCCCAGCTCAAAGAAGCCATGAGCTTGTGAAATAGCTGTGAGGGTGATAGAACCATAGGACAGAACGGCCGATTGTAGAGCTAAGCTTTTATTTTCTGTTTACCCCCACATGCTGACAATTACACCAGCGGTATAAACAATACCTCCCCCTCTTCATATCTTGTCACAAATACCGTCATTTTCACCTACCTCTGCTCTCTGAAAAGGTCAGCGTTCTTAGTTAATCAGAAGTGACGAGAGGTTATATCTGCTTCCATTACCGCCCATTCTGCTCTGTCTAAAATGATAAGACAACAACAATCAGCACTGCTTGCTGTATTTTCAAATATGATTCACCTGATAAACTAACAGTCATGCAATAACCTCTGTTTAGCGCTGGGTAAAGCGGCAAAAGACCTGCCAGTGAAAATGGCTTGAGAGCAAAAATAGAACAGAGGTTTTAGGTTGCAGGTGTGTAGATCTGTTGAGGATAATTGCATTTTTTTTTCTCCCCTGACACCTTTAAGAGGAAAAAAAGCAATGGTTTGCCACCGTGGCCAACCTGGTGGGTTTAAGGTTTTATAAAATTTGCTAATGTTGCTTTCGGTGCCTAACATTTCAAACCTTGTTAAAATGTCCAGGTAGAATAAAAAATAATGTTAACACCGTGTAGAAAACTGTTTCCAAAATTGAACCAGTCAATGCATGAATTTGCACAACACAGGGCACTTCACAACCTCTCAGGTAATTAAACCTCAGAGACATATAAGCAGTTTTTTTGTTATGACATCAGTTAACATGCTGCAATGAAGTTATCATTTGCAGAATTTGCAACAATGAACACAATGGTGCCCATTTTGTGTTTAACAGAGACTTTTGGCTCTTGATCGACAACAAAATTGCATTGGCCTAGTCACAAACATTCAGCCCACTATGCTGGTTCATTATCTAACACTGAGTGGGTTCTGAATTGGTTGGAAAGGACAAAATGTATCAACTGGGCTCTGTGTACCAATACAGGTCACGGCTGTAGTGTGAAAATGGCATTAGTGAAAATGGACTCTTGAGGTTTTGTGATGCTGTTTCCTCTTATGTTTGCATGATGACAGCCCTATCTGCACAACACAGAAGAGAGAGGGGGGGGTCACACTGGTTATCCCTGACCTCAGAACATCGCAGCTCCAATAACTGTGTTTCTTTGACACGCGCGTGTGTCAGTGTGCACGCTTGCGGCTGTGTGCATGCATTAGGGTTATTGTGTGAAGCCTTCAGTCTTTAATCCCCTAATCTGCTGAACCCTGGAAATCACTGCAGTCATCTGTCAGCTGGGTCAGAGCGGGCTGCCGGGTTCAACACAAGTATTGCACACAGCGAAACACGCACAAACATACACACGCACATGCACACACACTGGGCGATAGTCATTTATTCAACGGGGCCAGCCTCATTTCAGTCTAATGAAGACTGATGCTCCTCTTTCCAGGCCTCACAGGTGTTGTGGTAAAATGTATAAATACGTAACCCACATACATAAGGAAGAGAGAGAGCAAGAAAGAGAGAGAGAGAAACAGATTCTCCCTCACATCCTTTTTACATATGAATTATCAACTCTCCGGCATGCATAGATAAAAAGTTTGCATATGTATAAGTCAATCTGCAGTGTATCTCCTTAGCAACAGCAGAGTTAATCTAGCTGAAAAGTTGTGAAGGTCCAGCAAGGACACGCTCTCAGAGTCTCAGACCCTTGAGTCAAGTCTAAACCACTCAGACCTGTTTGTGCATTTGTGTGTCTGTAGATGTGTGTAGCTATGCCAAATAGGACACCCTGAGGGCTTGTCTGGAGATTGTGGTTGACATGGCCTGCTGCTGTCCGGTGTGAGCTCCTATTAGCACTTAAGACTGCGGCCTGCTACAAATGTACGCACACGCGGAGAGACATCGACACACACAAATGATTACACTTGTCAGGTTAAATACTGCTGGTGGATCGGGGGTGGAGTGTGTTTACTTGTCCGTGTGCATCAAAGAGTACAGCTATAGCACATCCCGCGCTAGATTACATATGCATAAACTTAAATCTATCAGTAATGATCGTGAGCCAGGCTGACAACTTTGCTCTCTTTTTGATGTATATGCTGCCGTCAAAAACTCAAGATGGAGGGATGGGGAAAGTGGGAGAGAGATCAAAAAGTGTGAGAGATCACACACATGCAGGCAGGCTTGAAGAGAGCTAAAGGTGGAGGAGGAGACATGGGCTGCTGAGAGAAACTGTACCAGTTAGATTGAAGTGTGAATTTCAGCAGGGTGCCTCATCATCAAGATCTGCCAGGCATCTGTGTGTCTCCATGTGCTTCCATGTCATAAGGTGCTGCCAGACTTGGGGGTCTTACCACTGGCGTGTGGGCCTTATCTCTTAAAAACCCAACATGATACACAACTGTCTCCAGAAGTTTGTTTCCTGCATGAACATAAAGCCTTCATTTTGGCATAGAATCCTGCTCTACGAGTCACTCATGCTACTATGAATAGTTGTTCCTGAGTGAATGGCATCCTGCAGTGTTACGGTCCTGAATGCAGCTTGAGGGGAGCCAGCTGGGCTGTGGCTTTCTGCCTCTATGTGTCAACGTGAAAAAAAAAGAAAAACACATACACAGAGCATGGCAGCAGAGGAGAGACATTAAAATTCAGCACAACACAGGCACATGACTGCCTGGACCTTTGATTTAGCTCTCCTCAAAGCATAATACCATGCATTATTTCTAATCCAGTACATGGCAGCATGTAAGCAAGAGTGTGAAATATTAATGAATACACACACTGTAGAAAATATAAAGTGCAGAAAAGCAGTTGGTGCTTTTGAAAGGATTAACTCGTGAAATTTGAAGAGCCAGAGAAGGCAGCAGCAGCTGTGTCCGGGCGGGCGCACCGCGGCGACGCAGAGCTGCGGCCGTCCAGCCGCGAGGAGAGGAGTAGTAATAATAGGTCAAGCAGCCAATTAAAGACCACTGCTTACTCTCTGTTGTCGTGGTGGTTGAAAGCATCTTTTACCGGAGGAAAAACTCACTTTATCACGCATGCACGGTAAAGGGATGCGATAAGGATGCTGCTGCGCTGCGGTAGCCATAAACGAGTCGGAGAGGAAGTAAAGGTTACGAGCTGCTGCTGCCCCTTACAAACGTCAAGACGAAAATTCCACCTTGACCCTGCAAAGCTTCACACTGCCAGGACACGTGTGATTTTTTTGAGATGTCAAAGGGATGCGTGTGTTTGCATGCCGCGAAGATGTGCTGAGTGCAAACTCCATGGCGATTCACATAAGGTCATCCCTTCCAAGGAACTATTACCCAGACAGCTGGACTAAATGACACACAAACGACACTGCAGACACTCTGGGAGAGACCCGTGTGACCAGTTCCAGTCAGAGTGCAGGCTTACTTGAGGACCACAAATATTATTCGGATAAAAGGCACCTCAATGTCATCGCTGTGAGCTGCCCTCCTCGTCCTACGTGCCACATGAAGTGACTGCTGCACACATGTGCTGTTTGTGGTCACAGAGGATGGTGTGTAAACAACAGGAGCGTGTAAGCATCGTTTCCTTAGGAGTATATTCTAAATTTCACGTACCTGTTTCCAGCTGTGTGCGGCACTCACTGCATAATCCTCTTCTGCCAACTTGAACTTTTCCTTCCCTCCAATGGAACAGCCCAGAGCTACTTGACACTTGTTTATTGCATACTTTTTCTCTGTCCAGTCTGTCCTGACGAGCTGCTACTGCGTATAAGCGGCGTGTGATGAACGCACAGGGTGGGGGGGTGATCTACTGGAGAGGATAGGCTATAAGCCTCCTGTATACATCTCACCAAAGCGGGGAATCAAACGGAGCAATCCATTCGCTGATGGTCTTAACTGCGCTGGCTGGAAAAGACAGACCCGAAGCGGACAAACGCAGCTGTGCGCTGACAAACCGGCACGTCTCTGGTTCTTCAGAGCGGAGAAACGGCCAGGAAGGCGGGCATGCTCTGAACGTGAGCGGCGGCCGATCGGTGAAGGAGGCAGAGGCAGCGCGCAGCAGCACCCTGGGAGCGACCGTCCACACACACACAGTACAGAGAGATGACCGAGGCTCGCGGAGCGCGCGTTCACGGCCAAGCCAAGTCAATGGTCATTATGAGCGTGTGTGGAGAGTAATCCACTGTGCACTGTTGGCTGCAGCTGCATCCCTGCAAGACGACACGCAGGGATCAGCAAAGAGAGCAATTAAACAATCAGAATCTAGAGCGCAATATGTTATTGGATATACACTGTGATCAATTTGTGATTGATCTTAACTGTATATCAATATTGAAACGTTATATTATATTACTAGGCTATAAAAATATCTATATGATCATATTTGTAAGGCAGTTTAAACATTCTGTTATACCAAACTGTTTAATCTCAATTGGCATGTTTTAAAGGACTAAAAAGGTCAGCTCAGTCATGTCACATGGTCTCCAACATGCTACATTAAGCTAACATATCAGGATGATGCCCACTTTTTCTCAGAGGTTGAACCTGCTTTCTGCGGGTGTTAAACCCTCCTCCTGTGGCCCGCTGCTCATTACACTGGTCCTCATGCATCTCTTTTTAAACTGTGCACCCACTGCACTGCAGGCTACCGTTCACATTAGCACACTTTCTAATGGGCTTTCTCTGTATTAGCAGCAATAGAAAGGTGCAATAACAGAAGCATGCAATTATGCACTATAACTAGGGAAAACATTGTTAACAGTTACCCTACTGCTCACTCTCCAAGCAGTAAATGCATATTTCCCCGTGGAGGTATGATAATAACGCCTGCTTATTTGAAAACACCTTGTAAGGAGAACCTTGTGGCTCTTTTGATAAAGATTTCATTTCAGAGGCCTTTTTATGCATAACAGGGGATTGGCAGGGGACATCAACCGCCCACTTTTGCCTTTATTTATTTATTTTACTTTTTCATTTCCCTAGTTTGTCTTCACAATGCATTACCCTGTCTGCCAGTGATATATTGATTAAGACAAATGCAGGTGTCAGCTTATACAGGATAAGTAAAACCCTGAAACGTCGTCTTGATTCGTTCACAGATGGTGCAGCTCAATCCAGAGCGAAGGGTGAAAAGAAAAGAGGAGGGGATCAGTGGATCTCTAGTGAGTAACACAGGTGCAGAGTGAGATGAAAAATGCAAATGAGAGTAGCGTGGTTTACTGAACCATTTTTTTAAAGTCCCCAAGTGATGACCTTAGAAAAAAAAACAGCCTCTATTCGGGTCTTTCGGTACCTATTCTTAATCATGCAGGTGCAGAGTGTCCACAGCTTTACAGTGACTGTCCATTGAGGAGTTTGTTTTCTTGAAGATAATGAGCTGAGTAGAGCTTCTTCAACATACAGCAGCATGAGCTTGTTGACAAAAATGTATTGCTGCTTGCTAGCTTTACTTCTCATTATAAAATGTCATTCCACAAGCCAGGATCCATGAATAATATGAACAAAAATATAACAGACACAACCTCAAAATACCCCTCATTTCCCCAGAGTGTTAGAAGGGATTTAAAAGTAATGGTGTCAGCTGTATTAAATCTATCCCATCCATTCGTCTGCACTTAAGTCCTTGCATATGGACACACCTAGAGATTAGCCCTAATATGTCCAGTAACAGGCGAAACCCTTAGCCAACCGAGTGTCGACGTGTAGACAGGCCAGTAACCAAACCCAGATTGGATCACCCAGAACTTGCAGCCACGGGTGGCTGACTTGCATTTTGCTCACCGGTTTAAAAAGACAGCTGCCAGATCCTGCCTACAGGCTGCCCATGGGTCTGCCATTTCGCAGGATCAGTTCTGGCGATTCTCCATCTTTGGGTTTTCCACATTTGGACAAACGAGGGGGCCTGGTGGGTTCTTAAGAGTGACAGGAAATCTATCTTTTTCACCCACTATCAGCCAATGTCAAACAATATTTTCCTCTTTCGAACATTGTCTGGCAGTAAGCTTATGTTAATTAGCTAGTAGCTTGGTTCAGTTTCTTCCATGCTGTGTTTTTCCCTTTACCACGCGATCTTACGGTAATTAGGAACCTGCCACCTTAAAAAGTGATGGATCATCATAAAATCTGACCCTCGGATGAATGTGTTGCTCAAGACTTGCGCAAATGAGGGAAAAATAATCCTGAGGCAAGTTGTCAGATGCTATACGTGCAGATGAGTTAGCTGACCTTTTTCTATCACGAGCCAATATTAGCACAAGCCATTATAACCTATCAAAGCCTAAAGCTTATAGCCAATGCTCAGGGGTCCCTCCAGCCTCATCATGCTCTGGACGGGAATCGCGTTCCCAGCGCTATCTCCACTATTACAGACTGCACAGTGTCAGGGCTTCTATTTAACCTTGTGCAATGAGTTCTCTCCTATACATCTATCACAAGCAATCATACCCACATCCTGCAGGGTTAACCCTTCCTTCAGAGCTTACACTGTATGTCGATGGGAAGGATGTATGCGTGTGTGTGCCTGAGAAGAAGATGCATTGTGCTGTTAATTATAAAATCAATTCAATTAATTCTCAACATGCAAATTAGCTCATTAAAGGACCTGAACTCATAGAATTACCACTGATTAGCTGGCTAAGCACTATTGCTGCCCTCTGGATACATGCTTATTAAGCTATATTAACTATACCTTTTTCACTAAAGCTGTAATAAAACATATAAATTATAGTTATTCCAAAAGAACATATGGACCTCTGGTTTACATAGAGGAGCAAAAAGCTTTAATGTCCAGTGTACTAAGTTGAAAGCAGACTATCTTTAGCCAAATTGCTGTTTGCTTTCCCTAACATTTGCAGCGCACAATAAAGCCGGTTATTTAACTCCATATTAACAAGCTTTCAGGCATTTCAGCCTGTATTTTCTCTGTGTGCCTGCTTGTTTGTTCCTTTATTAAATAAAGCTCTGACTTCAAATTTCTTTTCCCCTCACTTCTTGTTTCTCTCATCTCTCCTCCCTCAGAGCTGGAAATGCCCCCGCCATAGTGGGAGCTGGAGGATGCAAGGCAGTAACAGGTACATCAGGGAGCAGGAGCGGGAGCTGAAAGAGGAGGGGGTGCTGGCTCAGTTTGGCAGACAAGTCTGACGAAATTACATCAAACAGCGGGGGGCAAATGAGCATTTACAGTATATTTGAGGGGTAGGCACTATGGGTGAGTGTGTGTGTGGGGGGGCTTCACATGTCAGCAGCGTGTTTTCAGGGAGGGGGAGCATTAGATCCATCGGCATGAGTCTGGAAGCTTACAGGCAGCTTACAGAGCAGCAGGGGGTTTGTGGTAGGGGGTGGTGGAGAAAGAGGGGGGGGGTGAGACATGAAGGAGGGGGGTGGGAAACACTAGAGGGCTAACAAAGGAATAGGGCACAGCTGGTTTTTAATTGAGTCTCCCCCCCTACTATACTGAGTGTAAGTGTGTGCACATAAACACACACACACACTTGTTTTTACTCAGCAATTTCCCAGCTGATGGCTCAGAGGAACTAAACACTTCAGTATGGCAGCAGCCTTCATACGCAACTCTTTCACAAGGCTTCTGTTTTTGGTCCTTTGACTGATAAAGCCCTCTACCAATCAAGGCCTCTGACAGCTGCATGCTCCCATGAATCTTTGCGCTCAGTCTCGACATGAGTCCCAACAGCCTGCCTCCCGACTAACCTCAGCTTGTGATCTCAGCTGGGTGGGCCCAGCATGCAAAATTCAAACTCTTTATTTGTCTGCTTTTCTGGATTTTATGGCTTTAATAGTGGGTATGTGCCGACAAAACACATCATTTTATGAACTCTTTTTCATTTTTTTTTACAGATTAATTTGAACTTTTTTCTACTTTTGATAACTTTTCTTTACAAAATTTATTAAGTGTTTAATCATGTTTTCAAATTAAGTCCAGATTCAGAAGCTAATCTTAAGCCAATAAACATCTGTTTAAGTGTGATGAAACAACATAATATAATTTAATATGACATCTATGAAAGAGCATGCAGAGGCAGTAACAATAGCTTTGGTATCGATTACTAAACAGTTTGTAAAATCATCAGTTTTAATGAGATTTAGCTCAGTGTTTCTTAGTTTTAAAAGGTAACTATTCCAAATGGTGTCTTCTGCCTGTAACATTATTGATAATAACTATGTTGCAGCAGGATAGGGCTTGGTTTTAAGTGTCTAAGGAACTAGAGGCTGCAATTTCAGGACTGTCTGCAGGACTCAAGGTGTGTTGCAACAGTTATGGTTAGGGGTTGGTGTAAGAGTTATTGGCTGGACACTACAAATGGTAACACAGGTTCTATATGATGTGACAGTCCTATGAATTGTGGCCCTAGTTACATGGCCTTGAATGTGCTGCCTCTTGGTCTGTAGACACATGCTAAAGCCCCAACTTTGCCCCACCATGGACCAAACATTAAAACTATTAATCATTCACTCATTGAGCGCCACTGTTGACCTAGTCCAACACATCTCTAAACCATAATCACAGTGACTCCCTGAATATGTACAACGCTACTGCGCAAGTGGTAGTTCCAGGAAGTGGAGAAAATCCCAGAAATACTGAGAGCAATTCGGCTTCAAATTCTCATAATGGCAGAAGGCAGAGCCAAAATGTCCATAGTATATACAGTCTACGGTATTTGGTCAATCACTGTCTAGAGGCAAGCGGTTGTCGAACTCTATTGCCCTTGTTACTTTGCAAACAGCTGTGCCATCATAGTAGTGTGTTTTTGGTTTTACAGTTTGGGAACCTGCAACAATTGTATGGATCAATTTATAATCAAACAAAAGAAATCCACATCTAAGTTGAATGAGCAGTGAGTTTGAAAACATTTTTAATAATCGAGTGGATTTTGGGAACCATGCTGCTTTGGTTACATCTTTTGAGCTCTTAATCTCTTTCTTTTCCTCCATTCTTCCTCTTTCTGTCTGTCCATCTGTTGTTCTTGATTTGTATCCCTTTCCCTCTCTGCGTGAAAGGACACACAAATGGTAAATGGACTGTGTTTCTGCGGCCTTCCTCTAATCCTCTGACCACTCAAAGAGCTTACATGTCACATTCATCCATTCACACTATATGCATAACACTGATGGCGGAGGCTGCAATGTAAAGCCCCCATCAGTATTTACCAATCCTATCCACACACCATGGGCACAGCCACCAGGGGCAGTTTGGGGTTATGTCAGGTTAAGTGCCAAAGGGCACTTTGACACTTTGAGATGTAAACAGCCAGACCCATGATCAAACCTCCAACCCTCTGATTAAGAGACTGAGTCCACCTCTGAGCAGCAGCCCTCCTTGTACATCATGTACAATGGGTAGGTGAATGTATTTACCATACTTTGAACTTGTGACACTAGTAAAGCCCCTCTATACTTTGAGCTCATCAGTCTACAGCCACAATAGGTATTCTGCTATCACTTATCTTTATCTTACATATAGATTTGTTACTACCCCAAAACGACTGATATTTAAAGTGACACAAGTTGACTAGAGGCTGGGAAAGTAGATTCCCTCCTACTTGTCATGGTGATTCCTGTGACAAGGAAAAGTAGAGATAAAATAAAAAGAATACAGCTCTGAAAACTCTGTTTTCTCTTGTACGGTATACCTATCTTTGGTTGGACCGGTCATAAAAAGACCTGTATGATGTTCTGTTTTGTACAAGTAAATTACAGTACCTGTTTCAATCTATGGCTGCAATAACAAATTAAATACATAACACTTAAAAACCTATGTATAACTGTACAAAATACACTGAGCTATATAATATGAGAAAATATGCTGTCAGGACACATACTGTGCACTGCTGTTAGTGCTGTAAATGCATTGCAATGTGATAACAAGGTCCCCAGTTCAAACCCACAGCACAGCTTCTATACAAAGTGTGAAAGACGAAGAAGAAATTGCCGTGAATGTTATCCGCAGAATAAAAGCCTTTTCTGTTCCTAGCACAAACAGCTTGGGCTCTTATTTTAATGACGCAACACAGAGAGCAAACAGGCAAAGAACTGACCATGAACATATCTCTGTCTTAATGAGTTTGGGAAGAAATGTCTCATGTACATTTTATAGAAACATGTGCAGAAGAAGCGCAGCAGCAACAACTAGAGTACTGCTTTTTCTTATTGTGTAAAGAAAGTGGTAGAATACTGTGTAGATCCTGTTCAAAGCCACGGAACTGATTAAGCTATGTGCTGCAATTCACATCAAATCACAGTTGGTTCAGAGCTAACTTGTGTTTTGACTTCAACGTGCAGATGATGTAATGATATTATGAGATGGACTATTATCTCTGCTCGAAAGAACCGCACAGTTTGGTCTTTTCACTTGGACGAACAAGGTAATTGTTGATTGTAATCATAGAAACACTCAAACGTTGGTAGTTTATGGGTGTCATTATGAAGTTATGTATGAAAATTCTATTAGCAGTGTAATGGTAAACATGACAACAATGCTCCAAATCCAGCAGGGGTATTAATTGACTAATTTTCTCTTGGTCCGTGGAGCCCTGCTTGGTTATTCTTGACCGCATCTGAATGCTTTCAGGGGCCCCTTTTGAGCTCTGTCTATGATATGCCAGTTTGTGTATACACACACTAAAGCACGCACGCACACACAAACACACACACACACACACACACACACACACACACACACACACACACACACACAAGCACACACACGTGGATGCACAGAACAGTGATACGATGAGTCCATTCCGCTTGGTCTGCGCCGCTCTCGCAGTAGAGCTGACACCACATGACTGCTACCTCATTAGAGGCTTTAGCCCATGAGCTAACAGGCCACAGAGACAGTGGGCCATGCCACGTTTGCTAATTATAATAATAACAATAACACTGCCTTAGGATGCTACTTGCTTTTCTTTTCAATTAATTTTATCAGATGCACTCGGGGGGAAAGAAATGGAAGAGGCAGAGGGAGGGGGGCAGCCACCACACGCTGGCTCTATAGGAGGGAAATGATGTGTTTATTCTACATACTTGGCCAGATGACAGGCTGTATAATTGCTGCCAAATAACAACAGTTAACCTGCTTTTGAGCAAAAATCATTAACGTATGACAATATTGTTGATGTGACTGATGTTATTTATTGTGGCGCCAGCTGCAGACAAGTAAAGAAGCTTAAAATAGCCGCTGCATTCGCATACAGAAGGAGCTTTTTTTAGCCCCGTGGAAAAAAGAAAAAAAGCTGATGTTTTTATCTGGAGATAGAGTGACTCTGCAGGAGAAAGGGAGCCATAAACAGATGTTTCTGAATGGAATCTGCGACCATCTGTGATATATTGCTTTTGATATTCCTCAACTTTCCCTGGATCAGAGTTCAGCCTCTGCTATTTCATGTTATTATGTTTGGAATAGATAGCAGTCATCCACAGGTGCCTCTTTGACACAGATACTGTGCAGCTCCTAAATCTGTAGATCAGCATAAAATACACACTGACTCAGAGCCAGATTGCTTTGTGATAATGTATTCAGGTATGATATGTATTTCTTAGAGAAATGTATAATTTATTTTGACACTTTTGTCAGCGTATTACCATTTCCAGGCGCGTATGGTAACAAACGGGATAAAACAGTACTCTCACTCTGTTGGGGTCATATTGGAAAACAATAGCAGTAGCTACAAGAGCATTTTCAGCCTATATTGTTTTATTGTAAAGGATCTGCCCTTCAACCATCTCAGAAAACAGCAAAGTTGATTTCTGTGGGATTAAAGGCTTTGAAGACAGAGGTCAGGAAATAAACCCTGGTCTTATCTGACTATTTGGACACTTAAAGTTGCTAATTTGCTGGTCTCACTGGATATTATCTGCTCTCAATATGGACATTTGGTTACTTAACTTTGGTAAGTGCCAACTTTTCTGGGAAACCGATGTAGCCTTCTGGCAATGATGTCCGCTCAGTGTTGCTATTGTTTACAGATAAGCCACCAGCTTGATCTATAGTCGTATTCATCGGTTTGTAGAGATTATTATGAGCTGTGTTGTTGTTAGATAAGTGTGAAAGTTTTACTGAGAACAACCAATGCCCAAAGAAATTCAGATGGAAACCAATGAACCTCATATACCAAAATCTGGAC